GCCACACCAGGACACCTGCCATGCCCATACAGCCCATCTATAACCATACCCTCTGCAACTCCACCCACTGGACAAGCGCCAGTACCAGCTCCTATACCACCTGACCAACAATCTTGTTCTTGTTAAGTGCTGTCGAGTCAATTCTGACCCATATCGACTCTGTATAAGGTTTCCAAGGAACAGCTGGTAAGCTTGAACCACTGACCTTGCAGTTCAAACGACTTTGCTGTCTGACGCATTAGCCCACTGCATCACACCAGGACAGCAGCAAATACCAGCCAAACCTACCCTAAACCGAGGTGCATGAAAGTCAAATACAAAACAGTACACATTCTGTAACTATACCAAAGGATACATTTTGTGAGAGCCTACGAACACATCAACATAGAATCATTAAATAAGTACAAATATGACAACTCCACAATGTCCTAGAGATAACATACAATTTAAGCTCACATGAAGAAACGAGAGAATGACAAAAACAAATGACCAAGATGCAGAATCTGAAGGTGTCTGAGGAAGAAAGGTAATGGAACTAACTGAAGAAAAATTTTAAATAATTATATTTAGATACCTTCAAAGAATTCACAAAAAGATGAGGAAAGCAAGGACAACACAGAAAATAATTGAGAAGAATTCAGGAAAACACTACAAGAACAAACAGACAAAATGCAAATTTTGGAATAGTACAAAACCTGTGATTAGTAATACAGGTGATTAGTAACTAGAATTTCACAAATGGGTATATATTGAAAGGATAAAGGAGTAGATTTGAAGCAATGGAAGCCTAAACTACTGAGCTTGAATATAAATCTCTCAAAACTATTATCCTAGAAGAACCATCAGAAAAATGAAAAAATCTGAAGAAAGTCTACGAGATATGTGGGACACCATGAAAAGGAACAACTTATGTGTGGTCGGAATTCCAGAACAGGAAGAGACAGTAAAAAGCACAGAGAAAATTGTCAAAGAGTTGTTGGAAGAAAACTTCCCTAATATGAAAGATGAGAAGATAAGCACACAAGAAGCTTAACAAACCCCAAACAGAATAAATCTGAAAAGAAAAACATCAAGGCATATCATGATCAAACTTTCCAAAACGAAGCACAAGGAAAGAATGCTGTGAGCAGCTCAGAAAACAGTGAAAACTTACTTACCAAGCAGTGCCAATAAGACTAAGCTCTGATTTCTCAACATAAGCCATGCAGGTAAGAAGGCAATTGGATAATAGGTACAAAACTCTGAAAGAAAAAACTGCCAACCAAGAATCATACCCAGCAAAGTTGTTCCTCAAATATGACTGTGAAATTAGGATGTTTCATAAAAATTAAAGGAATTTGTAATGATCAGAACAACTTTACAAAAATGATAATAGGTGTTCTTTGGACTAAGAACAAACAACATCAGACAACAACCTAAGATTGTCACATATGACTACACCACCCAGAATTCAATCCAAATACTGTTAAGTGCCGATGAGTCCGTTCTGACTCACAGCAACCCTGTATAGGGTTTCTGAGGAACAGCTGGTGGGAACGAACTGCCAAACTTGTGGTTCTCAGTCCAGTGCTGATCCAATAGCACTACACAAACAAACCTACAAGGCTGAAAATAGAAAACCAGACATAATCAATTTATAATGACATTAACTATAAAGCAAAAAGAGGGAATTATATAGATAGAGAAATTCCAAATGACAAGGAAGCCAAGTAGATTTCAAGATAAAATAGACTGTTTTAATCAGGGGAAAAAAATAATAAATTACAAGATAACCTCAAAGAAAGTTAATACACCTGAACATTAACACAACAAAAATGAAAAGAAAACCTACAAACAAAATGAACTCAGTGCAGAAAATAATGTGGAATAAAGAAATCAGCACCACAAGAGGGTAAACACATGTTAACATGGGTGAGAGGGCTGGCAATGTACAAGAAGAGGGAGTTTAACATAGTAAAGACTAAGGTATCGGGAAACAGAGGGGAGAATACCATCATGAATAGAGACGTAGATAATGTTAACTGTTGGTACATGGAGGGGATTGAAATTGTAATGAAACCAAATATGTGATTTGTTGAATGTAAAACTGATCATCTGCTTTATAAACTTTTACTCAATTCACCATAAAAGGTTTTTTAAAAAGTTTTGAGTAAAATGAGGTATTTGAATTAATGGCTTTAAATTGCAACTTTCTTTTAAACCTGGATAAATACCTGTAGAATTTTCTGTGCATGAGAACCTCAAATACCCATCCCAAAACACTGTCCTAATCGATACTGTAACTTCAAACCGAGTTTAGTTAAGTGTGTAGCTACTAGCTCCCACTACTTAGCAGCTCTATTACTTCTACAAGATGAGGAAATTAGGACAAAGACCTCCTCCAGTAGACGAGACACTTTCCTTTTATGATTTTATTTTTCAAAGATAAATGAAAAAGCAAGGCAAAAATGGAGACTGATGTACACAATGAGCTACTTTCATTTGATGTTATTACTAAACTCGAAGGGGGAAAAGTACTTTCTTGAATCTACTTACTTTTCACTTTAATGTTTTTATTATTTTATTTATTTTATTATTGTTTTTCTCCATTGTTAAGTGCCATCCAGTCTGTTAGACTCATAGTGACCTGTATAGGGTTTCTGAGGAGCAGCTGGTGGGTTTCAGCTGCTGACCTTGTGGTTCGCAGTCTGGTGCTGATCCTGCAGCACCACACCTGGAGTCCTTTTCTCTATTACAAAGAACATAGCTTCAGGTCTTTTCCCCATGATTTATAGCAGATGAATCACAGCTTGCTTCTTGAGCCTAGAAGCGGCCTCAGACTCTGTCCAGTGCTGCAAGCAGCCACTACTAAGCAGTTAATGATTATGAGGAAGCTCTTGAACAACGGAAGCTATTAAAGTAAAGAAATTAAAATAAGCAAAAATTCGTTTAAGTTTTATTTGTTTGGGTTTTTTCTTGGTGATATTGTTGTACTTTCATTGCTTTTCAGTTGTTTATTTTATCTTTATTTCCTCTGTTAAATTTTAGGGTATGTTATTAATTTCTTTGCATCTTTATTAAGGTAATTTCTTATAAGAATTATTTCTGAAATAGTCTTTGAATTGCAACAAAGTAAACTTCAAAGTGCTGAAACTTCTTGGCATTATCTCTGCCTCTCTTTAGTCCCTAGGAAAAAATCTGGATGGACAACTAGATGTGGTCCACTGTGACTTCTTTAAATTGGATCCTAGAAATGGTACTCTAGTACGACCACCTATTATGATTTCACAGATGCTTTTTCAGAATTTGGGGATACAAGCACTTCCTTGGTCAGCAGGTAATTTTTGTCATTCATTAAAGCAAATGCCTTATAATTTGGCAGCTCTCTTTGTCAGAATACCTGGTTTATTGTTTATGTTGTACAATTTTTGATCAAATGCTTTTAAGTTGAATGTGGCATTCTCCTCACCTGGAAAAAATGATGAAAGCAATTCCCCAAAAGGCAAGTTCTCTTTCAAGAAAAAATGCTGAGGTTTAGTTGAATTAAAATAAGCTTAAATTAACATAGTTTGATACAATAAAATATTGCCATAGGAAAAAGGATAAAGAATTTTAATCAGAGATTTTCACTTGTATTTGTAACAGGTATCCCTTTAAAAGTAATTGGAATCTTTCCAATCAAAAGTGAAAAAAAGGCACTGTGGAAACTTATATATGACCTATATTCCTGTACTTCTATATATAGATATGGACGAGTAGAATTAAATATGTTTATTACTGAAAAGGAATATCAGGTAAGGTTATTAACCAGTGTCTGATAAGTTTTTTGTTTTGAAAGAGATTATAATTTTCTTCTGAGTAGCCTTAACTTATGATTTTAATTTTATGATTTATAACATTTGAATGTACTAAGACTGTTTTTAAATGTCTGTAGAGCAACCTTTAGACTGTGTTTTTTATTCTCTAGACCCTGGGTGGTGTAAATGGTTACTATGCTCTAAATTAGCTTTTCTAATGTGCTCAGCTAAAAGGATGGTAGTTTGAGTCTTGGTATGGCGCTGTGGGTTAATGTACTGGACTGTAAAGTCAGTTTGAACCACAAAGTTGGCAGTTCAAGCTCACCAGCAACTCCTTGGAAACCCTATACAGGGTCGCTATGAGTTGGAACCGACTCAATGATACTTAACAACAACAGAGGGAGTCCTGGTGTGGCACTGTGGGATAAAGCACAGAAACACAAAATTGATTTGAATCACAAGGCTGGAGGTGCAAAAGCACCAGCCACTCCTTGGAAACCCTGCACAGGGTCACTATGAGTTGGAACCAACTTAACAATAACAACAGAGGCACATTGGAAGAAAGTTCTGACAGTTTACTTCCAAAAACTCTGCCATTGAAAATCCTGTGGTACACAGTTCCATTTAGACACATGTGGTGTCACCATGACTTGGAATCACTTCAGTGGCAGCTAGCTTGGTGTTTGGTTTTTTTTCTTTGTAATGATGGGTTCTCTTGATACTACCTTACAAGTCATGTTCCCTTTTACCCATAATGCTTCCTGTTATTAACCAGAAAGGGAAAAATATGAAACTTTCTGCTCCGGTAAGGATTTATTGTCTCACACACGCTTTACAGGGTCACTGTGAGTCAGAACCAACTCAACAGCACACCACAACAATCCAATACAACAAGAACTACTTAGCATTATTTCTACATATGAAAATTAAGGCTTAGTATAGTGGGCCAAGAAATGAAGGAATAATATACTCACCCAACCCCAGGTAGTGGAAATTGTACTTGGTCTTGGAAGGAGCATAGGGTGCTTAGAACCTTGAAACTATACATGCAGTATATAAATTAAAGAATGGAGGAAAGAAAAATTATCAGTTTGCTTTTAGGAAAATGTTCCAGTGGCCTTTACACATGTGTTTTCCTTTCTCTGTGGTTCCCTCACCCAGGGGTTACTTCTCATCCTTCAGGTGTCAGTCTAAGCACCTCTTGACTCAGAATTTAATGGGTCCACCTGACACATGTTTTAACACAACTATCCTCCAAGGGAGTCCTGGTGGTCTAGTGGTTAAGTGCTTCACTGTAAATAGAAGGTGGGCAGTTCAAACCCACTAGCCATTCTGCAGGGGAAAGATTGGCAGTCTTCTATAAAGATGGCAACCTGGGCAACATCAGGGGCAGTTCTACTCTTATCCTGTAGGGTGGCTCTAAGTTGATACTGACTCCACAGTGATGAGTTTGGGTTTGGGCTTTGTACTTCTCCATAAAACATAGCAAAAGCTAATTCATGTAATTAGTTAATGTTTCTTTATCCTGTTATGCTGTAAGAACCACAAGAGTAGGATTTCTTGTTTTTGTTCACTTTCATAATTAAATTACGAGATTTAGCCCTGATATGTGCTACGGGTAAAGGAAAAAAATCTCATATATGTTAGATTTTAAGTGTACATGATTAAACTTTAAACAAACTTTTAAGAATTTTTCTGTCCTGAGATGCTTAACGTTAAGATTTTTCCTTTAAGTCCTTTAATTTTGTTAAGTTTCTAGATACTATTATGACATTAACAATTAGGAGGCAACACTTGGTTTTGATTGATTCGGATTGTATTTGATGTGTAAATTATATTTTCCTTTTATTAGAAACTAATGGCAAAACCCAAAAATACAAACTTGTATCAAGCATTAAGTGTCCTATGGCAAGTAGCTTGTGACATTAAACTTCTGCGCATGGTGAGTAAACTCCTGAATTTTAACAAAGAACTTCATTTTTTTTCCAATTTGCTACATTTCTATGACCTATAAATGAAAAAAATAAAAGAATAAAAGATTCTGACTCATAGCGGACTCTGTGCACAACAGAATGGAAACTTCCCAGGTCTGCAACATCCTCACAGTAGTTGTTAAGCTTGAGACCATTCATTGCTGCTGCCACTGTGCTATCCAACTCTTTGGGAGGTCTTCCTCTTTTTCACTGACCCTCCACTTTACTTAGCATGATGTCCTTCTCCAGGGACTGGTCCTTCCTGACAGTATGTCTGAAGTTGAGAAACGAAGTCTCGACATCATGACTTCAAGAAGGCTGTTCTTCCAACACACATTCGTTTGTTCATCTAACATTTCATGTTACTTTTAGTATTCTTCTCCAACACCCATAACTCAAATACATCAGTTCTTCTACAGTCATCTTTAGTCATTGTCCAACTTTCACATGCATATGAGGCTATTGAAAATACCATGACTTGGATCAGACACACTTTAGTCTTCAAAGTGACATCATTGCTCTTGAACACTTTAATGAGGTCTTAGGCAGCACATTTGCCTAATGCAGTACATCATTTCTTGACTACTGCTTCCATAAGTATTGATGGTGGATTCGAGCAAAATGAAATCTTTGACCATTTCAATCTTTTCTCCATTTATCTTGATATTATGTATTGGTCCAGTGGTGAGGATATTTGTTTTCTTTACAATGAGTTACAGCCCATACTGAAGACAGTAATCTCTGATCTTGATCAGTAAGTGTTTTATGTCATCTTTGCTTTCAACAAGCAAGGTTATATCATCTGCATATCACAGGTTTTTAATGAGTCTTCCTCAGTTCTGATGGCACATTCTTCATTATAGTGGGCTAGGAAATGAAGCTTCTCGGATTATTTGCTCAGAGTACAGATTGAATAAGTATCGTGAAAGAATAAAACCCTGGTGCACACCTTCCCTAATTTTAAACCATTCATCCTTTCAAACAACTGCTTATTGATCTATATATAGGTTCCTCATTAGCACAATTAATTGTTCTAGCACACTCATTGTCCACATGTTGTCCATACCTTGTTGTGATCACACAGTCTTTGTATAGCCAATAAAGCACAGGAAATGCTCTGCTTACAGATAAGATCCATCTGATGTCAGCAGTGATATCCCTCATCCCTCATCCACATCCTCTTCTAAATCCAGCTTAAACTTCTGAAAGTTTGTTATAAGTGTACTGTTGGCAGTTGTTTTTTAATTATCTTCAGCAAAATTTTACTTGCATTTGATGTGAATGATATTGCCTGATGATTTCTCCATCCTGTTGGGTCACCTCTCTTTGGAATTGGTGCAGATATGGATTTCTACCAATCAGTTGGCCAAGTAATTGTCTTCCAAATTTCTTGGCCTCCAGTGCCACATAAGTTTGTTGAAAGATTTTGGTTTGTATTCTATCAATTCCTGCTAATGCCTGCAATACAATTTGGACTTACTCTTCCAGTACCATTGGCTCTGACCATATGCTACTTCTTGCAATGATTAAACATCAACCATTTCTTTTTTAGTACAGTGACTCTGTATACTCCTTCCATCTTCTTTTGATGCTTTCTGCATCATTCAATATTTTGCTTATAGAATCCTTCACTATTTCAAATTGAGGTTTTAATTTTTTCCTTCAGTTCCCTCAGCTTGAGAAATGCTAAGTATATTCTTCCCTTTTGGTTTTCTAATACCACATCTTTGCACATTTCATTGTAATATTTGACTTTGTCTTCTCTAGCTGCCCTTTGAAATTTTCTGTTCAGTTCTTCATTTCTTCCATTTGATTTAGCATATCAACATTGGAGAGCAAGTTTCAGAATCTCTTCTGACATCCATTTTGGTCTTTTCCTTCTGTATTTTAATGATCTTTTTCTTTCTCCCTTTATGATGTTCTGGATGTCATCCTACAAGTCTTCTGGTCTTCAGTCATTAGTGTCAAGTTGAAGCTTGAATTTTTTCTTTAGTTCTCTCTGCTTGAGGAATGCTGATCATGTTTTTCCCTTTTAGTTTTCTAACTCTAGGTCTTTGCTCATTTTATTACAATATTTGACTATGTCTTCTCAAAATGATCTTTGAAGTTTTCTAATCAGCTTGATAATGAACATGCCATTCCTCTTAAATTTGTCTTTCTTGCACAGTAAACCATGTGGTTGTCAGATTCAAAATGGCCAATACCAGTCCATTTCAGCCTAGGATATCAATGTTTATGAATTCCAGTTCATTTTTTACAATTTCCAATTTTCCTAGATTCATACTTTGTACATTCCATGTTCTGATTATGAATTTATGTTTACAGCTGTTTCTCTTCATTGTGAGTTTTGCCCCATCAGCAAATGAAGGTCCCAAAGGTTTTACTCCATTCACTGCATTATGGTCAACTCTACTTTGAGGAGGCAGCTCTTCCCCAATAATATTTTGAGTGCCTTCCAATCTGAGGGGTTCATCTTCTGGCACTGTATTTGACAATATTCTGGTGCTCTTTGTGATGTTTCAGTAACTAAATATTCAGAAGTAGTCCATGTCTCCTCCTTCCTAGTGTGTCATCATCGGGAAGCTCAGCTGAAACCTGTCCACCATAGGTGACCCTGCTGGTATTTAAAATACCTGTGGCATGGCTACCAGAATCACAGCAACATGCAAGGCATCACAGTACAACAAAGTGACAGACAAGTGGTGGCTACAGTGTTTAGTAGCCATATTATAAAAGATAAAATTAATATAATAAATTAATCTTAATGCTATATTTTATTAAGTCTGATGAATCCAAAATAGTCATTTCAATGTGCAATCATAAAAAATTAGCTCTTACATATTTTTGGTTTTTATTTGTTGTTTGTGCTATGTCTTTGAAGTTCATTGAATATATTCCACATATGTTGGTAAATGCTGTCAAGTCGATTCTGACCCATAGCAACCTTGTATAGGGTTTCCAAGGAGCAGCTGGTGAGCTTGAACCACCAACCTTGTAGTTCAAATGACTGCAGTCTGACTCATTATCCCACAGCACCACACCAGGACTCCACATATAGCACATCTCAATTCAGACTAGACATGTATTATCACAAAACTTGATTATAAAATAAAAATGTTTTGTTATTAATTGCCTGTTCCCTTCTTTTGTTGTCTATTTCAGTCGATTAGTGGAAATGAGAGTCCCTGTGTGGTACAAACAGTTAATGAACACATCTGTCCAGTGGTGCCTCCATGTAGTTTTCATGGTTGATTTTTCAAAAGTAGATCACCAGACCTTTCTCTCAGGGGGCCTCTGGTTGGACGTCAGAACTCCAACCTTTCTGTTAGTATCTGAGTGTGTCAACTATTTGTACACCTCAGGGACTCCTAAGTAAAAGATAGAGTTATTAATATCAATGTTGACCTTTGATGCACATTTTCTTTATTGAAAAAGATAGCACAGTCTTCATTTAACTATAACTTTGTTTGTCTTTGTGCAATTAGTCTAAGTACATAGAGTTAACAAAAACAGTAATATGGGCCACTGTGAGCAAAGAGAAGTAAAAAAAATGGGTTTTTTTCTCTCCCCTCAAGGAACCTTGGTCATCATTTGATTTCTATACCCAAAATGGGCAGCTGGAAAAAACAAAGACAAAGCACAGGGTAAGAGTAAATGAGCAGCTTTCCTTTTCTTTCTCTGAATGAAACAGTTTTTATTTTGAAATAAATCTTACAACTTTTAAACACTGGTGATGGATCCACAACTGGTGAATTGATGTGATTGGTATCACTGGTATGTGTAAAAAGTTTATGACTCGGCTAGCAAATGTGTGCTTGTCAAATTCAAAATGGCCAGTACTAGTCCATCTGAGCTCACTAATGTCTAGGTTACTGATCTTTATGTGTTCTATTTCATTATTGGCAACTTCCAGTTTTCCTAATTTCATACTTCATACATTCTATGTTCTGATGGCTGCTTACAGCTGTTTATTCTTGTTTTGAGTTTTGCCACATCAGCTAAATGAAGGTCTCAAAATCTTAACTCATTCACATCATTGAGGTCAACTTAACTTTGAGGCAGCAGCTCTTCCCCAGTGGTAGTTTGAGTGCCTTCCAACCTGAGGGGTTCCAGCACTGTACCTGACACTGTCCTGCTGCTATTCATAAGTTTTTCAGAAGCTAACAATTCAGTAGTAATCCACCTCTCCTTCTTCCTAGTCTAGCTTTGTCCGGAAGCTTCGCTAAAACCTGGCCGCTAAGAATAACTCTGTTGTTGTTAGTGCCATCCAGTCAGTTCCGACCTATAGCGACCTTGTTTAGGGTTTCCGAGGAGCAGCTGGTGAGCTTGAACTATAAATAACTACTGGGATCTAAAATAGCTGTGGCATAACTTACAGCATCACAGCAACACACGAGCCACCACAGTACAACAAACTGACAGACGGGTGGTGGGATAAGCTATTTTATGTCTGACATAGTGTATTTTCCTTTCTCTAGGAGTTATCAGAACTCATACAACAGAACCTGTATTTTATTCGAATGACTCCTCGTAGAAAGTTATTTACAGAAAACTTAACACCTATTAACTTTGATATATTTTTTCAAATGTTAAAGCAATGTTTTGGGAAGCGCAATGCCAAGCTAGCAGACCATTTACAGTAAGTAAAAAATAATAAAAGCAAGCAATTTAATGTGAGAATTATTCTTTGGTGTTATAGTTTTATATTGTTATAGCTTTGTTTTTAAATATCTTAATGAACAGGGGGAGTTATTTTCTTTTAAAAATATTTTCCCTGATGTACATTTTGAGAAAAAAACACAAAAATAATTATATTCTCCATGTAATTTCCCACTGAATTTTTCTCCCCTTTGGAAAAATAGTAGATGATTACAGTAGTGTGACATTTTAACATTTATATTTACATAAATAATGTATTTTTTTAATATATTGCCCTTCCTCTGATATGTTGAGTTACTTTATATAAATATAATATTTCTATAAGCGTGGTGTGCAGGTCTTTTAAGTTGTGCATTGCAGCTTATATTCAGCAGCCCATAGTCATTCCAAACATTGTCATAGGAAAGGTGAAATGCTAAAAACTACATTCTAATTAATTCGATTATTTAGAATGTAGTTGTTCACTGGGCATTATTTATATTAAAATAAATGTTAGAGTCTAAATGTGCCATTTTCATAACAGGTTAACCATGAAAAACTTTAGAAATAAGCCTAGCTAAGAGTTTGCATGTGTAGCTTTAATACTGAATAAGAAATTACGTATCTTAAATTATATATTATATATATATGTTATATATTAAAAATTAAGCATTTGAAATTGACCTTAGAAATCATCTCTGTCAATGTTAACTGTACTTAAAGTTGTTACATAAAAGAATTAAGTAGATTAACTTTGTTTTCTTTTGTAGTTCATTAAGTCCAGTTGATGCAAAGGATATATTGATGCAAATAAGAAAACATGAAAATATGAAAATAAGTAATATGTGCCCCGAGGACTTTAAACGTCTTTTTGAAACTATAGAGTGTTCCAAAGATTATACCTATAAATGGCTGTGTGATGATAGCATATAAGGAACAAGACCACCAAGACATCAGCTGGAGTTTATTTATTGGAAATTATGAAACAAATGAAAAAAGTAATCCATCTGAAAAGCCCATTTTTTTGTTGTTGTTCAACAGAAGAGAATTGTTTTGCAAAGACTAGGCAAGTTATTTCTTTTAGACTTCACATCATTGGTTATTGATAACAGTGACTGTTAAGTGTTTTCACAGCTGAATAAAACTTAAACCTTCAGTTATTGTAAATTTGATGAGATTGAATTATTTCATTGTTTTTAAATTCCTGTCTACTAAAAACATATTGGTAGTTGTGAAATACTACCTGATAAAATTAAGTTTTATCCTTTAGTAAAACATCTTACATCATACTATTTTAAATATTCTACTTTCACTGTTGCTATTTTTACAGATTTTGGGAGGGTGGGGGCAAAAGAGTTTATGCATTATTAAGCTTAGAAAGTAAATGAAACTAATTTAAGTGGTTTGTTTTACTTTTTAGTTTGTTGAAATGTATTATTAAATACTGTATAATGAAATTATTTAAATTTTAATATGGTATAAACTTTTTTAAAAAATTAAAATATTTTAAGTAAAAAGATTTTTTGCTGACCTTTTTGTATATAAATACTTAATGCTACATTAAACTATACCTAACTTCTTGTTGTTGTTGTTAAGTGCCATCGAGTCGATTCCAGCCCATAGCGACCCTGTATAGGGTTTCCAAGGAGCAGCTTGTGAGCTTGAACCACCAACCCAGCAGTTCAAACGACTTTGCAATAGCCAACAGCACCACACCAGGACTTAATCACTTTTAATTCTGTCATGTATATTTAGTGTATTTCCAGTGAATCATTCAGTTTTCTATACTCAAAATCACTCCATTTCTGTTCCATTAAAAAATGATATAGCTTCGATATAAGAGGGCTTCAAATAGTTCATGGGAAAATTCCATTCTTTTTTAATTCCATTTTTCCATGAACTTTTTCAAAGCCCTCTTGGATATTTAATTACCACAGTCATATTTGTTTGCTCTTGTAACCAGAAGGCATACTATCAGTAACTCTTTGTAAGGCATATTCTTAGTAACAGTTAACCAAAGGATTCCCAACTTTCCTAATATTATCATTATGGCTGGAAACTCTGAATGCTTTTCTCTCTTACAATTCCTACTCTACTATTTCCACATCTGTTCAGTGTTCATATAGTCATCATACTCACTTTTCTTCCTACTCCTTATTATTGTTAAGTGCCATCCAGTTGATGCCAACTCATAGTGATCCTGTAAAGGGTTTCTGAGAAGCAGCTGATGGGTTTGCACAGTTGACCCTGTGGTTAGCATTCCAGAGCTTATCCTACAGCGCCACACCAGGACTCCATGTCCTACTGAGACATTAAACCTAAATTTCTCCCTTTTATTTTTAACTTTTTATTGTGAATTGAGTGAAGATTTACAGAGCAGATAATCAGTTTTCATTCAACAAATCACATACTTTGCTTCATCACCTGGTTGCAATCCCTCCATGTACCAAGCATTAACAGCTTTTCCTGTGTTCAATTTAAGTATTGCATTCCTCCCTGTGTCTCCTGCTTCCTTCATCTTTGATCTGCAAATCTCCCTCTTATACATTGCCTGCTCTGTCACCCATATTAACATGTGTCTACAATGTTTTGTGTAAACCACTATGTGTATGTACCAGAGTTTGTTAAACCATTTTCTGTAGATGGGCATTTAGGCTGTCTCCATCTTTTTTTTTTTTTAAAGGTTTTTGTGGATTGAGGGAAAGTTTACAGGGCAGATCATGTTCAACAAATCATACACCTTGTTTCATTACAATGATTATAATCCCCTCCATGTACCATCAGTTAACACTATTTCTCTATATCCACTTTAGCTTTTTAAAAAAACACTCAGGCATATATAATAATTCACATCTCCAAAGGGCACATTCTGCAAGTCGACCTCCTGGCCACAAGCTCTTAGCCCCTTTCTTCCCATGAATCTAAAGTCCTCAGCCGCTCCCCCTCTTCATGCCCCCATCTCTGCCTCCATCTCTGGTGTCACTGCTTCTCTGGATAAGGTCTTGCATTCTGCTTGTGCGCTTCTCCCTTGATGGTCCCAGGGTCCTCTGTTTCTGGATTGTAAAATTAACCACTCCCGTTTTTGTTACAAAACTTCTACCTTTACAATTGTGACAGTTGCAATTAGTCTTCATAACATTTATTCACTATTGAATCATATGAACCTTATCCCCATCTCTTTTCACCAGACCCATCTAGACAAGATGAAATCTATTCAGTGGAGA